GCGTGCTGCACCGACAGAGCGAGCCAGGCGCCCCGACCTCAAGCTGGCTACCTCGGGTTCCTCCATCCAACGTGTCTTCGGCTCAGGCAGAGGACCCTGAGGGCAGAGCATCCTGTGATGGGAACACAAAGCTGTCCCCTCAAGCGATAAGCACATCAGTCCGCAAGCCCCCTCGTGACTGACCCCAGACAGGTGTGGATTTGACCTTCAGTGCCTACCTGCACGCACCCACCCACCTTTGCCCCGCACTTCCCGTAGATAAACTGGAAGTATTTTCAGCACGTTGGAGAATCTCTGAGCCGCTGGTCCGCTGTCTTCCCAGTGTCGGCCTCAGTGAAATAAATCCCTTTCCCGTCTCTGCCTCTGGATTTTGTCAACGACGAGCGGCGGAACTTGGTCTGTTCTGGACCTTTGGAGCCAGGAGCTCGAGCAGCCCCAGGACCCGGCTACACAACGAAGGCTCAGGTCCACGCAGGACTGAACAACTTCGCAAGGTGGTAGCCACCCGGGTGGGCCTAAAGGCTCTTCTCAAACACAGCTTTGTGAACATCAGCATATTGCCCGCCTCCTGAAGGACTTTTGGGAACCTGGGCCACACGTTATCATTCTCAGCTCGGTGTGCTATTCGTTGAAACATGCCCCAAACCTAGTTATTACCTCCACTTGAAGGTCAAGGAGACTGAGGCTCCAAGCAACAAAGTCACTGGCTGAAGGTCGCCCAGTTGACAAATGGAGCTGAGTGTGGGGACAGGCTGGGACTCAGGCTGCGCTGTGGGGACACACCATCGCAGAGTCCACCCCAGACGTCCCCAAACATAATGTGCATGTGAACCAGACCCCTGCTGAGAGCACACTCAGGTTTGAGAAGCACTTGTGTAGACCAGAACATTCCTAGCCAAGGGCACAGGGGCCCGGAAGGTGGTGTGTGTGTGTGTGTGTGTGTGTGTGTGTATGCATGCACACGCATGCTCTCTCTCTCTCAAAATAAAGAAAGAAGGGGGCGCCTGGGGGGCTCTGTCGGTTGAGCGCCCGATGTTGGCTCAGGCCATGATCTCACGGTTTGTGAGTTTGAGCCCCGCGTCGGGCTCTGTGCTGGTGGCGCAGAGCCTGCTTCGGATCCTGTCCCCCCTCTGCCCCTCCCCTGCTTGCACTCTCTCAAAAATAAATATTAAAACGAAAAGAGGGGAGCAGGTGTTTGCAGTGCACCCCATATTCATGCCTTCAATGTCACACAATCCTCAGGTCCCTATGACATTGTCTCCATTCCTCAGATGAGGAAACTGAGGCCCAGAGAGGTCAGTGACTTGCCCGATCATGTTACTAACACTAGTGTTCATTACATGGCAGGCACCACGCAGGGGTTTCACGCAGATTATTTTACTCAATCCTCAGACACTCCTATTATCCTCTTTCTGGGTGAGAAAAATGTTCAGAGAGGTCAAGTGATTTTCTAAGATCACACAGCACAACGTGGGGTCCTTGCTCGGATCCACTCCCCCCATTCTTTCTCACAGCTCTTATGAGGGATGCTAGGGCTGCAGTGGGGTGCCCGGCCCCCCAAGTGAGAGCTTGCACTGAGCAGGCCCCCTCCACCTGGCCCCTCACTTGTAGGAAGAGAAAGCCTGGGGCTGGGCAGTGAGTCGCGTCCTGGGGTTTACTGCAGCTTCAGGCGCACATGCCACCAGGAAAGGTCCCGGTCCCCTTACTCAGCAGGTGGCTTCCCGAGGATCAGGTCTCCAGCTACAAGAGGCCAAAAGCCCAGGACTGGTGTGGACACCCTGGGTCCCATGAGAGCGAGGGACCTCCCTGGTGCTCCCCAGGGCCCCCGCCCCCCCGCAGGCAGGCGGCAGCCGGTGCCCGGGGGCTGCGCAGCCCCTCCCGCCCAGGCTCCAGCTCACAGCCCACGGCCTGTTGCCATGGGCACTAAAAGCCTGGATGAAGCCATGATTAGCCACAGCAGGTTGCTGAGCGGGCTGGAGGCCTCCAAGCTGAGCCCAGGGAGGTGTGGGGGCTCCCTGCTGGCCCGGAGACTGAGCCGGCCTTCGGGGCTCATGCCCAACCCCCCTGGGGCCCCGGGTCACGAGCAGGCGCTGAGCATACGCTTGTGTGCCCTGGCTCGCGCTGCGTGCTCCAGAGGCTGCCCACGCGCACACACCGGGGCAGTGGCTGGCCACAGCAGGAGACACGCGCAGCCGATGTGAACCCGGCCGCGGCCTGACAGAGCCCAGCCCCTCGCAGCCACTCAGCAGAGCCACAGCCACCCAGAGACCAGGGAGGGAGACACTGACGCTTGCTGTCCAAGCCACTGATTTGGGGAGCGTGTGTGTCTCCGTTTGTTTGTGCCGCTAGAAGAGAAAACCATAGATTGACGACTTACCGACAATGGAAACGTATCACTCACCGTTCTGGCGGTTGGGAAGTCCGAGACAAGGCACCAGCACGTGCGGGGTCTGGTGAGGGCCTGCTTCCTGGTTCACAGCTGGCCGTGTCCTCCCATGGGGGGACCTCTCTGAGGGTCTCTCCTATAAAGGTGTCTGTCAACCTAGTCACCTCCCAGAGGCCCCTCCATCTTATACTCTCACATTAGGGGCTAGGTCTCAACATATGAATTTGGGGGATGGGTACACATTCAACCCAGAGCAGGGGTTGTTTATTACACAGCAATATCACAGCACAAAGAAAGCTGACTCATATACTATCTCTAAGCGTTTCCTCCAAGAGCGTCTCAGGAGTTTAAAGGGCTCAGAGCTGTGCCAGGCACACAGCAGGCAGTGCGAGTGCTAAACCTTGGGGTGCCTGGGCGGCTCAGTCAGTTAAGTGGCCAAGTCTTGATTTTGCCTCAGGTCATGCTCTCACATCCGATGGGATTGAGCCCCATGGCGGGCTCTGCGCTGTCGGCGCAGAGCCTGCTTGGGATTCTTTATCTTGTTCTCCCTGGCTCTCTCCCGCTCACACACACACTCTGTCAAAATAAATAAAAAACATTAAAAAGTAAAAAATAAAAATCTTGAGCACCTGTTGTGAGTTCTGGGAACATGCTGATGTATGAGACTGTGTCACTGCCTTCTGGAACTTTATTAATTTTTTTAGATATTTATTTTTGAGAGAGAGCGAGCTCGAGCACAAGCAGGGGAGTGGCGGCACAGAGAGACGGAGAGAGAGAATCCCAAGCAGGCTCTGCACCGTCAGCGCACAGCCCGACGCGGGGCTCGATCTGACGAACCGTGGGACCGTGACCCGAGCCAAAATCAAGAGTTGGATGCTTAGCCACCTGAGCCACCGGGCGCCCCATGGGATTTTGTTTTCTAAGGGTCACGTGTCAGGTGCTGGAGGGCTGGCTGTGGGCTCCACGAAAGAGGCTACGACAGCCTGAGCTGCATCTCAGGGCACAGGAGGCCCCGCGGGCAGGAAGCAGGGCCAGCGAGGCCGTTCCTAGTACCCAAGGCAAAGTGAACACACGGGCCCTCGTTCAACAACGATTAAGAATTTCAAGGCCATGGGGCGCCCGGGGGGCTCAGTCGGTTGACTGTCCCTCTGACCAGCTCAGGTCGTGATCTCTAAGTTCGAGAGTTTGAGCCGCACTTCGGGCTCTGTGCTGACAGCTTGCCTGGGGTCCTCTCCTCCCCCCACCCTCTCTCTCAACAATAGTAAACATTAAAGGAAAAAAAACGGGACACCAGAGCCTTAAACCGAGTGCGGGCCCTCCCGAGGGGTCTCTGCGGAACTATGCAGGCTGCACACCCACAGAGCAGGCCTTGACCGTGGGCCCACCGTACCCCGCAGGGCGCTCGGCCTTCCAGTGCGCCCGCGGTCCTCTGCAAGGTGCCAGGGGCCGGGCCAGAAGCGCCGGCTTGTTCCGGAGCAGCCCGGCCAGTGTTGAATGGGAGACAGAGGACACAGGCCCCCCCGCCACCCCCAAGGGCAGGGATGGCGCTGAACGGGCTTCGACACTGCCTCCCCAGAGCCCCCCGGGGTGACTGGCTCCGGGATGCCCATGGAGGCTCCTTCCTTCCCGTCCCTGCCTCCCTTCTCCTGCGCAGTAAGGAAGGAACCTCCCGGAGAGGTCTGGCCTTTGCCCTGGGCCCCTGGGAGGTGACCTCTAGGCTCCTGGAATGTCCTGCCCGATAAGAGTCTGTTTACCTGGAGCCTCGGGCCACGAGGAACAGGCTAACAGTTTGATTTACGGTAAGCCTGAGTCACTGTACCAGCCTGACATCCAGAGGGGCGGGAGACTGAGGTCAGCACGTGGGCGGCCAGCCATGTCTGTGTGGCCACCCCCCCCCCCCAGCGAAAACCACAGACACGGGGGCTCAGGGCGACCCGGGGGCTGGCAGGACGCGAGCGTGCGTCATCAGGGCTGCTGGGAGAGCAAGCCGCTGTCTGCAAGACCTTCCTGCGCTCCCTCCGGGCCCCACCCCTGCGGTCCCGGCCCCTTCGCGGATGGTAATCTGCATTCTTTCCCTGCAAGAAACCAGAAACACGGCCCTGGTGGCTTTTCTGAGTTCCGGGAGGCCCTGTAGTGGATTACCGAGCCCGAGAGCGGTCTTGGGGTCCCCCCGAAACGGACTTCCCACGCCCCTCCCTCCCTGCGCGCTCCCAGATCACCTTCCAAATAAATGAACTCTTTTCCCACAAAGCCTTGGCTCAGGCTCTGCTCCTTCGGGAACGCGGCTAACACAGCGGGCCAACCCGAACCGAGAGGTGCCACCCGGCGTCGGGCAGGGCCACGCGCAGCTGTCACTATCAGAATATTCAGGGGGCGGGGGAGGGGGAGGATGGGGACACTTAACAATTTAATGCTCTTGGAAAAAAAACCCCAGACCATTGCCTCCCGTCCTAGACACGCATTGTTACTAGGGTCCCACGGCTGGCGAGGACAGAGCTGGGCCTCGGGGCCACACTCAGGCTTGCGACGCGCAGCCCGGCCCCTCCGTGGGAAGGGGTTCTCGGGTACCTGCGTGTCTCTGCCTCCTCCGCCCAGCCCAAGCAGCAGGCCTCACTGTTCATTACAGAGGACCTTTATTTACAAAGCAAAAAAGAAACCACAGGTCGCTTTTTGGGCTCTTCTGATATCTGTAAAACAACGTGTAAAAAACTCCTCGTCTGCAGGGAGTCCTGCGGCCGGCCGTGTGGCCCGGGGCGCAGGGAGGGCCAGCGGGTCCGGGAGGCCTCTCCCCGGCACCTCGATGGCCGTCACCAGGGCTCCGGGAGCAGTTAGAAGGCGTGGGCGTCAGGGGGCCGGTCCGCTCGGTGGGGCCCGAGAAACACCCGGTTCTGGACGCAGCCAGGGCTCGTCATTCCTTTGCTCAGCTTGCAACCCGTCGGGCGGCCGAATCCTTTGTTTTCCCGTCCGGGGTGCTCGGCACATGTGTCCCAGGCAGCCGCGCCCCCAGGGACGTGTGGCGTTGGGGCCCGTGAGGACCATCTCCGAGCGGTGCCCCCTCCTCAGGCTTCGGGGTCTATGTCTCCGTCCTCCGGGCACGACCCTGTCTCTTCCAACCAGACTAGGTAGGAGACAGAGAAGGGGTCAGCATCGGGACGGCCACCGCCCACCGCAGCCCCAGGGCCAGTGTCTCCGGGCTCCCCCCGCATAGAGGCGGTGGGGGGAAGGATGCTGACGGGGGGCCGTGGGGACACCGGGGCTCGTGGGCCTTCCCCACGCACCCTCCGCCCACACCCGATGCAGAGCCGCCCGGGGCCCTGGCTGCCGTCCGTGGGACTGGACCCCTGCGCCCCACCCTCGACTCGGCGTCTTTTAGGAGAGGACTTCCTGCCCAGGGCTGGGCGGAGGCCCACACCTCCACGTGGGCCCCTGTCCTAGAGACGGGAAGTCGAGGCCCAGAGAGGGGGAGACCTGCTTCAGGTCGGCCCGGGGAGGCCAAGTCCTCACCGCCTGCGGAGGCCCTGGGGTCTGATAATCACTCGGAGCCAGCAGCCCAGAGGGAGTGCTACCCAGGCCTGGTCTCCCCCAGCCCTAAATGTCACTGGGGAGGGAATATCAACAGCACGGCCACTGCGCAGGGCACGAAATCAGACCCCGAGCCTGTCGTGAGTCCTCCTGAACCTCTGAGGCACCATTTTACAGATGGGGAAACTGAGGTTCAGGGAAGTAGAGCCCCTTGCTCAAAGTCAGAAGGTGACAGGTCACGGAGCAGGGATCTGAATTCAGGGTCTTCCGACCCCGAGGTCTGTGCCCTTGATCCCATGCCTCCGTTCTCTGCAAGGGGAAAAGCGGAGAGACAGGGTCTGAGCAGATGGGACAGGCGGGTACCCCATGCCATCTCTGTGCACCAGTCCGACCCCGGAGATGCTTAAGCTTAGAGGGGCCTCTGCTGCGAGCTCAGGGCCTCTGACCTTGTAAAGTAACCCTAAGTCTCCCCACACTCACATTGGCTCTGGGGGCGGGGAAGGTGGTTGTGATCCCATTTTACAGATGAGGACATCAAGGCTGGCAGGGAAGAAAGCCTAATGGCAAAGGACCTAAGCCTCTGCTGCCTGCAGAGCTCTCTGACTGGACACTGGAGCAAGAGCGTGGCCCCTCTCCCACCTTGCCGTGTGTCCTTGGCTGAGTCCCTGCCCCTCTCTGGACCTCAGTTTCCCCATCTGTAAACTAGAGATAAGGGTGGTACTTGTGATCTTCAGGGCTGGAAGGAGAAGTAAGCATTACGAGAAGCATTCAGCCTGGCGCCTGGCACTTGGGAAGGGGACACGGGAATGTGACCCAGCGTGAGTCATTACTGAGAACGGCCCAGCCCCCGTCCCTACATACGGCCCGACCCAGAGGGGGTCCGACGGCTTCCTCCAGATGACCTAACCCCGGTGGGCAAGCTGAGATCCAAGCCTGGCCCTTCTGGGAAAGTCTGTCCAAGCCCTCCCCCCACCCCAGACTTCACCAGCCCCACAGCAGCGTGAGCCTGGGTCCCCCGCAGAAGCAGGGCAGGACTGATGTGACGGCTGGCTGGCTGAACGATGGCCTGGGGCGGCCCCAGATCTCACTGCTGGGTCTGAATCCCAACCCTGCCGCTTTCCAGCTACACGGCCAATGTCCCAACCTCTCTGAACCTCCCTTGGCCCATCCGTTAAACGGGGACGAAAACGGGACCTAACCCACAGTGACCCTGAGGGCTCAACGAGAACGTGTGCTTACTGCTGACGTCATCCTGATTTTTTGTTACTATCATTCGTGACGGCAGCCTCAGCACCTGGCACAGGCACGGCTCGATAAATCTCTTTGATGAGCAAACAAACAAGTTGTCCCACCGGCTCCAACAGGGTCCACAGGGGGCAGGTGGGGGCACTGTCCGCGTCTGTGTCCTCGGCCCCCCACCTCCCCCGCCGCGAGCTGCGTCTGGAAGGCCCGGAGGTGGGCCCGGCCCTGACGTGGCGTGTGCCCAAGCCTGGCCTGTCCAGCTGCAGTGCCGTGGCCAGCAAGACGGCGTGCCCGTCCCCAGCTGGCGGGGAAGGCACGGCCATCCATCACCTTGCTGGGCTCGCCCGGCCCCATCCATCACTGCCCGGGCTGCCGGCAGGGGCCGTCTAGCTAATCACCTGATACGCCGCGTCTTGCTGAGGCTGGTGTGCGTGAGGGGCCCGCGGTGGTGCGGACACAGACCCAAGCATCAATTTTTAACGAACCCGGGGCAGGTGGGGACGGGCCCCAAAGCAGGCGCCGGTGAGCTGTCCCCAGCCAGGCCCCGCCCACAGCCGGGCAGCGGCCCAGGGCGGCCTCACCTGTCTGCCTCGAGTCCCGTGGCAGCATCATGCCTGTGGGGGTCGGCGGGGTGATGATGATGTTGGGCACGTCCAGGTGCTTGTCGCTCAGGACGGGCGCCTCGTCGTGGCTGCTGCTGCCGCTGCTGCACATTTTAAAGCCTGAGGGAGCAGAGGCCGCGGGACACACACGTACGCACACGACAGGGAGACAAGCATCAGTGTCCGCTGGGAGCTTCCCGCCCTCCCCCCACAGCGAGGAGGGGGGCGTCGCCCTCGCTTCACGCAGGGCACGTCAACGACCCGTCCACACTTGCGTCATCCCAGGAGGGCACTGTTTTGCCTGCTTGGTTCACTAACGGGGCTCCAGATCAGTGTCTGGTACCCGGAGCCCCGGAACATGGCTCTAAGGGATGCGCACAGCACGGCCCGGACCGGAACCTGCCCGATGGGCGCGCGGAGCCCCTCATGCGGCCACCCCTCCCCCACACCCTCTTCTGGAAGGGCGTCGGGTGGCAGATGGGCTTCCGTTCTCCCTTACGCCTTTGACTGGGTTCCCCAGTGGAACCGTCTTGAGCCTGGAACGTTCTCTGTGCGAAGGCTTTTTGATTAGGAATTTGGGGTCTTCAACCGTCACGGGGCCAATCAGGTTTTCTGTTTCTTCCGGTGTCAGTTCGGCTGCTGGGCTTTCCCGGGAGGAATCTGCCCGTTTCTTCTCCGGTTGGTGGATTTCCTGCCCCGTGGCTGCTACAGGCGGGCCGGCCACGCCCTGTTACAGACTCTGGAAGCGGCCACAACGTCCACGCCACACCCTTGCTGCATCCTTCCCACCCGAGTCACGGGAACCAGCCCTGCCAGAAACCAGAGCGCCCGCCACACTCCCTCCCTGCCCTCCCCTCCCTTCACCCACTCCATCACCAGCCCGGGTGCCGGCGTCCCTGCCGGCGTCCCTCGGTGGCTCTGCCGTCCTTCTCTCTCCCTCCTCACGCCCCTAACTAGCCTCTCTGCCAGAAACCGCCAACCCGATCACACCGCACACCTGCGGAGTTCACACGTCTTTACAACTAGCCACAGGCAGTAGTTTTCAAAGCATGTTCCCTGGAACACTGGCCCCCGAGGGTTCCACGGTCAGATGAGTTTGGGAATAGCACACATTTGACTGTTGACTGGACTCCACCTAATCGTTCTTTCTCTTGGGGATTCCTGTGCCTGTTAGAGAATTAAAGGCTCTGAGAAGTCCTGCAGTAGGGAAGCAGCTCCTGAAGTGAGCTTCACCCCTGGCTTCCTGAATTTAAGTAACCTTGGGGTCTGTGTGTGGAGGAGTTCCTGTTGACAGCTCACAGAGCCGTGGGCTGTGAAATACATTTTGGGAGATGTTGGTCATGAATCAGAGCCAAGCCCTCAGCCCAGCTTTCAGCCTTCACAGTCTGGCCCGAGCCACCTGCCCACACTCCGGTGCTGCTCACAGCTCCCCAAACCCTGGGCTCCTGACCCCTTTGGGCCTTGGCCCGTGCTGCCATCTCTGCCTGGAACGTGCTTTCTTCCGGTACCAGGGCAACGGGCTCCTACCTACCCTCCGAAGCCCCGCACAATGGGCTCTTCTTTGGGGAGGATGTCCCAGCAAATGCACCCCCTCCCTCCTTTGTCCGTCTACACTGATTCACTCCTCAATCTTCTTCCCGCACTGATCAGTCTGCATTGAAATATTAGTTCTCAACTCTGTCTCCCTTTACCGAGCGCGTCTGAAAGGCAGCCAGTGTCCCACTCTCTGTGCGTCCTTGGGGCCCAGCACACGTGGAGTGCTTTCAATTGTAAATGCGAAACCATCGCAGGCACCACCGAGCTGGGCGAGCTGGGCCTCAAAATCCTCGCCTCCAGGCTCCCCTGCTTTGTGTTTCTCCCCAGACAGTCCCCGCCTGGGATGACACTCACTTGGGCACGAGGGTCCTGGCCCGCAGCAGGAGCTGAGGAAATGGGGTCCCCGAGCCCGTGGGGTGAGGGACGGGGGCCTCCTTTCCACCAGGAAAGCGAGTCCTCCAGCCCCGTCAAGCCCTTGGGTGACACCGCAGCCCTGGCGGGCAGCTTACGCGTCCCCCACAAGGGACCCGGAGCCAGACGCTCCCAGCGAGGTCAGTCCCGAATTCCCAAGCCACAGACGCTGCGAGGTCACGCTTCAGCCGCTGAGTTTAAGAGCAATGGTGACACAGGATTGGAAACGGATACAGTCCGCACAGCCTGCCCCGAGCAGAGACGGGAGGGCAGCAGGTGCACAGTGGGGGCCGCCAAACCCGGTGTGTGGTGGGAAAGCCACAAGGGGCATCTCGGGGCGACCTCTGGTCGCCCAAGGGGTGTTCCCCTGATGGGCAGCTCACGCCTGGACTGTCAGGGACAGTCTCTTCCAAATCCACAAAAGCAGGAAGGTCGGATGACCGGGAGCGATGGCATCAGGCGGGACTCTCGGCCGTCCTGGGCCGGGCCTGGGCTCTGTGCTCAGAGGAGCTACCCGCGGCCGGCATGGCGGCGAACGCCCTGGCTCTGCTCCCTGGGCAAATCACATCTGCTCTCCGGCCTCTGTTCTCGGCTTCCGGGAGGCGATCTCGAAGCCCCCGGGATGCCAGGCCTGGAGGGAGAGCCTTCATTTGCCCGGGGGCCCTGGGCACACGGGGTGGTCCGGCCACATGGGCTTTGGGTGATGCCCAAAGGGACTGGGACAGGGCTCCCATGGGGGGCAACCAACCGCGTAATGGAGTTCGGTGTCCTCCCGTCCTCGGGCTGTGCGACAAAGCCCGCAGACCGCGCGACTCCAACAGCAGAACTTTGCTCTCCCCGGTCTGGGCGCCGGAAGTCCAAGACCCAGGTGCCGCCGGCAGGGCTGGGTCCTTGAGAGCCCGCGAGGGAGACCGCGTCCCAGGCCCCTTCCCCGCCGCTCAGCGGTGTGCGGGGACCTTTGGTGTTCTTTGACTTGTAGACACGTCACCCAATTTCTGCCTTCCACCTCCCACGGCTTCTCCCTGCCTGCGTCTGTGTCCAAATCTCCCTTTCCGTCAGCACACGAGCTGTGCTGGATTATGATCCATAATTACCCATACTGGATCCTCACCTACCCCAGTATGGCTTCTTCCTGACTGATTACATCTGCCACGACCCTGTCACGTTCTAGGGTACTGGGGGCAGGACTCCCATATGTGAATCTGCGGGGGACGCAGTTCGGCCGGAAACACCCACGAAAACCTCTGAACACCAAGGCTCGGGCGATCCTCGCTGGCCGGCCCGCTCCGTGTGTCACACGTGTGTGCCAAGAAGGTAATGCCTCCGCGACTCAGTGGGGAGAGACCAAAACTCCGTCCGGAACTTTCCTGGACTCCACCCTACGCACGGCCTCACTTGGCTGATTGGCATCTGTGTCCCTTCCTCGTAATAAGTCATAACCACGAGTCCAAGACCTTTCTGTGAGTTCTGTCCTTCGGGGGAATGACCAAACTCCTGCACCTACAGCCGGTGTCGGAAGTGAGTGTGTCCTGTAGACTGTGTTACCTCTCACTTCCTGTTTTTGCTGACGTAGCAGGGTGGTCGGACCCAGCTCCGAGGGAGGAGGGGGGCGAGGTCTCCCGGCCGGGGGGGGGGGGGCTTCCGCCCTCACTCACACCAAACTCACGCCTGCAGCGGCTGAGGCCCCAGCCCCTCCCCATCCTGAACCCTGATCCTACTTCCTCCCTGGGGTGGCCCTGCGCCCCCCCGCATCTGCAGGGAGAGCTCATGTCTCCCCAGCACACGATGAGTCCCTCGGGAGCGCCCACCGAGGCGGCTGCCAACCTGATCCAAAGCCGTGGATTTCGAGGCTCCTTGAAAGCAGTACAAGCCGGAATATGAAACAAAAGGAAGGTGCGTGGAGGAAGCCCTCCTGTCCTCACCGGTCACAGGTGACATTCGCGGATCAGGCAAGATGCTGAGCGCCTGCTCCCCTAGGTGGTGCCAAGTCTAACCAGCCCCATTTCACAGACGCGGAGACTGAGGACCAGAGAGAGGGGAAGAACTTGCACTCGGTTGAACAGCTAGCCTGAGGCGGAGCCAAGACCCGAACCCAGAGCCACTCTGTCTGACAGCAAAGCCGGTGCTTCTTGCGATTCCATGCAGTGAGGCTGGCAAACTTTCTGCACGGGGCCGGGCACTAAACGCTTTTTGCTCCAGGGGCTACGCAGTCTGTGTTGCAACCGCTCACCCTTGGCATCCTCAGGGGAGGGTTGCCACTGTCTGTATGCGCACGAGTGGGCGTGGCTGTGTTTCAATAAAACTTTATTTACAATAACAGGAAGCGCGCTGGGTGCGGCCCTACGCCACCCAGAAGTCAGGGAGTCTGGATCTGGACTGCGCCTCCTGTCCCAAGAGGCAGTAACAGAACCTCAAAAGCCCGAGGCTGGTTAACGCCAAAAACAAGAAGAAAACCCAAACGCTGGCTTCGGCGGTGCCTGCCTCGAGGGGTGCTGGGCTTGAGGAAACCAACGAATTCACGTAAAGCACTTGCCCGGAGCTGGGGGCCTGGAGGGTGCTTGTTCCCGCCCGCTTCCTCTATAATCATCCATAAAGAGCATCTCACGGGGTGCCAGCAACGAAAGGAGGCTCTGATTATTGTCATCTGTAACAGGAGGGAGCCTCCCTGCTCGGTCTTCAAGGCCCCTTCCTCTGCGAATATTCCCAAGTTCTAAAATAAAATGCTAATGGAGAAGAGCTGCAGCCTCCCAGGGCCCCTACATTTGCATTTTAACGGGTTCTGGGAGCTTGGCGACAAAGCCAAGGTCACTCAGCGGGTCCTGGGGAGACGCTGCGGGCAGGGAGGAGGGAGGGGAGGGGGGAAGAGGGTGGGGAGAGGGAGGGCGGGTCTCCAGCACCTCTCACCACCCCCCCCCCCGGGGGTGCCCAGTCCCCAGCTGAGGCTGCTAAGCAAGAGGGAAAAAGCTCTCAGGAGATAAAGCCTACTTTGGGGATTAAAAACAAATGCCAACCAGTGCCCCAGACAAGGAGCTCATTTGTGCTAAAGCCAGAATTGTTACTCGTTAATTACGTGCCCGCCTCAGGCCATTAAAAGCCCATTTCCTGAAAGGGGTGGGTTTGGCTGGGATTTCAGGGGGCCAGGCCCCAAGGAGGCAGGGGACGGGGAGTGGATT